ACTCTGGACCAACCCTGGACATTGCATTATTAGTATTTGTTCTTATTATTGCTTGCTGACATGTAAACATACTTCCTATTGACTCAGGTTATTGTACCTGCGTCTGCCTGCAAGGTTGGCTGGTGAGGAGGCAGGAACCAGGAAGGCTCAGTGAGGGTTAGGAAGGCCTGGGATGATGGGCAGGGGTATGGGGTTGGGGGGGCCAGGGACCCGAGAGCCTGAATAGAATCCGAGGTTTGAGGCAGGGACACATCCTCTGAGCAGACGATAGGGTCAGACCATGTCTGCTAAGAAGTCCAGTCCCAGCGTATTTTAGGTTTCTGGTGGTTCTGGGATGCACCCGAGTTTGGCTGACCCCCCAGTAGATGGGTGTTGTCCATGGATGGGGTCAGACACTCCTTGGGCTCTGGATCGGTGTCCAAGTTTTCATTTTTCTTTCAAAAAAGGACAACTTATTTTTCAATGTCCTGGCTTTTGTCATATCTGCAGATATCTGGGGACAAATCGGGAGACACAGTGGTTGGCAAGGTATCAGGAGGACGTCGAGCTGCTCAGAAGTGGGCTTGTGAGTCAAATGTTTGCTTTTGCAGAGGCTCAGTTTGCAAGTTAAGGGCAGTTGGCTTCCATTCTTCTACCCTCCTGTGATCCTGCAAGCTGACCACAAATGACTGAGTGGCAGCCCTTATAACAATGCTTAGAGATTGTCCTGTCCACCCATCCACACTCTTGCAGTGTCCCCTTAAATTAGGGAGAAGATTTCTGTCTGATGCGGAAATGGACTAATTTTATGCTCAGGGCCTCAGCTATGGTGCTGGGTGCCTGTACAAAGTCTGTCAACTGCATCCCCCAGAGCCTTGGGATGCCCCCATGTTCCTGAGGACACAGCCTTAGGTCAGCCCACATGGAGGGAAAGGCGTCCACGGTCACTCCCGGCAGGCCCAGGCTGCCAGGCTGCAGCCCAGCCCCTTCCCGGTCCTTTGCATGTGCACCTGATGCTCTAGCCACCTGTTCTCCTGATGTGGGTGGCTCCCTGGAGGCTGCCTGTCTGTCTGATGACCACCAGGTAGGCACAGGTAAGAACCCTTCACACTGTGTGTGCACAAGTATTTGGAGACTGGTGGACATTCACAGCTACACACACAGGTGTCCACAATGAAAGGAGCCTGCAGGGAAGCCGGATGGAGACTCGTATGTCACCTTAGCACAGCTCAAGCATAGGGGGGATCCCAGGGCAGGGAGGGTTACAGGTTGAGGCAGGAGACGTGGTAAACAAGCATCACCCGGTGGTGAGCATGGTGGTCCCTCAGGTGGAAGAGGCTTCCACAGATCCCTCTTCCAGAACCACCTGAAGTTTCTCTACAATGTCAATTTATTTTGCAAAAGAGGACTTCAAACTTGTACTTCCTGTTTAGGCCTTGGGGGGAGGGTAAAGAGCAGAGGTGTCACCCTGGAGCTCAGCACGGGCCCTGGGCACTGGGCAGAGGGTGCGCCCTCTCCAAGCAGGCCTGCCCTCCAGGCACAGCCCTCCTCTCTGCAGTGTCAGATTTAGCAAGAATCCAGTAGAGAGAATGGGGTCGGATTATCCAGAACCCTAGTTCAGTTCTGATAGACCATTGTCTGATGCGGTCAGCCAGCCCCACAGGCTCTCACACAGGCCTTCCGGAGAGGCAGCAGACAGAGGGGACACTGTAATCCTCCCCACCCCTGGGACCAGGATTGAAATTGCCGGTGAGCATTGATGGGCGTGCTGAGGAGAGGGGCCTCCTGGACTCACTCTGTTGTGTGCGGGAAGGAGAGGAGTTTGTACGTGGGAATCGGGAGCCCGTCCTTGGACCAAGCCCTGGGCCTCTGTGTGCACCCATCCCCCTCCAGGGAGGGTCATAATGCAGCGGACTTTCAGGAGAGTGAGGGTGTGTGTCTGCAGCCCTACTGAGGGGCAGGCCCAGGCATGGTGTCCACACCTCTGAGAACATCGGGACCAGAGCAAACCCAGTCCCCTCCTCCCTCACCCCCAACGCCGGCTATACAGGCCTAACACAATGGCTAAAATGGAAGGCCTCACAACACCAAGTGTTACCATGCATACAGAACAGCTGACAGGCTCACCTGGTGGTGGTGCGTTTGAAAATCTACACAGCCGCTCTGGAGCGCAGGAAGGCAGTTTTTTACAAAGCTAAGTGTAGTTTTATCCTATGAAGCAGAAGTCACGGTCCTGAGTGTTTACCGACCTGTCACGAGAACTTCCGTCCACACAAACTGCACAGGAATGATTGTCGTTGCCCCCTTCATAAGGGCTGAAACAGGAGGCAGGCAAGCTGTCCTTTCACGGGTGGGGGGTGAGTGCTCTGTGCTCCACAGTGCCCAGCATGTTTTCACATCCGCACCCCAGTGCCGTGAGGGCTCCCGCTTCCCCACACCCCTACTTCCCCTCTGCTTATCATAGCCATCCTAGGTTCCTGGAAGTGGCACATCCTGGTTTTTCAGTTTCTTTTTCCCTAAGATCTGATGCTGTGGAGCATATTTTCATGTGCGTGTTGCTCATTGTGTGTCTTCTTTGGAGCAACATTCATTCAAGTCCTTTGCTGCCCCCCTGTTTAAATGTGGGTGTCTTACCATTCTTTCGTTTGGTAGTAAGTGCTCTTTGCATATTCTGGACACTGGACTCTTGTCAGGTTTGCAGATCTTTTACTTCATTCTGTTGTGTGTCTTTTCACATTCCTCCTAATGTCCTTTAACGACAAATGTCCTTGGGTTTGACAAATGCCAAGTAGCTCTTCTTTCTTTGCAGCTCTCGGTGTCATAGGAAGGACCACGTGACACATCCAGGGTCCTGAAGAGCTGCTCTCAGGCTCCCCTGCGGGGGTCCCAGGATGTGCCGTCTTACATTCAGCTCCTCAAAGCACCATGAGGTGGTCTTTGTATATGCGGTAAGGTTGGGACAGATTCATTGTTTGCAAGTGGAAATCCAGTTTTCTGGGCAGCATGTGGGGAGATACTCCACCTCGTGCTCCCCGCAACCTAGACAGGATCAATTCACCCTGGAAGTGTGGACCTCTCTGTGCTCGCTGAGTTCCATGCCACTGGCTTACGTGTCAGTCCTCATACCAGGAGGAAACTGTTTTGAGCGCCTCCCAAATGCCACAAGGATCCCTCAGTCATGACTGGGGACGCAAAATGGTGAAAGCACTTGAGAGGCACTTTAAGTGTCCCTATGGAGGCAACCTGGACAGTCCAAGTAATGGGGCGGGCAGGTCCTGAGGGATTCACCCAGATCATGTAAAAAGTTAGGTTCTCACAAACTTCCACAAACAGATGATGCTTATATCTGCGTTGTTCACTTGAACTTCTCATAATGTACATTCTGCTCACAGGGGACAAGTCACAGGGAACAAATGACCCCACAGCTTTGGGACTGGAACGGGGATGGAAGGGTTGGGGATGTGTTACACAAGGCCCATGCTGCCATGGACAGGATTTTGGAGGTGATTCTGGTGAGACTCGGAGACAAAGATGACAGCTTTAGAGACGGCCTCTGCTTCCTAGAGAACACGTTACTCTGACGGGATTTTAAGTACAGGGGTTAGTAAAGGCAGTTCGGACCATGTTCTCAGATGAAGACCAGAACAGTACTTGACACTGGAGGGGGCCGTCCTCTTTATTACCTGGGAGAGAGCCTGGGGCAGCTGTGTCTGTGTCCATCTTCTGTGGAAGGGAGAGGGTGGGAGAATGACCCTGATGCGTCTCCGAGGGCCGGTGCTAAGCGGGGCTGAAAGACATGTCGGCTCCTCCTTGGAACTTGAAACAAGTGCAGTGGGATGTGCCTACACCGTTTGTAGACTGTACGCCTGCTTCTCCACGTCACCATCAATGATCCAGGGTACCACATCTTCCTATGAGAAAAGGAACAGTGTCTTGGCCCTGAGTGAGTCCCCCAAACTCCAGGAACACCAGGCAACCCCCGACTCCTCTTTTGAAATCTGTCCTTGGGTTTGTGCTGAAGCCACAGATCCTGTGATCTGTCCCAGCCTGTGATGGGTTCGTTGTGGTGTGACTCGGGGGCCCTCTGAAGGGTGTCTGGTTGGAGCACCCCTGGGCAGTCCTGCAGGCAGACCAGGAATGTCCCCAGCACCCCCACCCTCGCTGTGGTTGAAGGCCATGTGGTCTCACAGATGCTGCAGCCTCACCCGGCACCCTTGCTGTGTCTCTCACAAGGGTGTCTTCCTAAAGAAATAAAGCAAAACATGCAAACCATCTTAATTTACTCTTTATTCAGCTGCTCAAAGGCCCGGCATCAGAAAACCACTTTTATGAGTCCTTGATGTCATGAGCCTCTTTCTGTTGGGAGAACACAGAATGGTCCTGGCCATGGTCAACTGCACATGACAGGCTCACTAGGCCAGGCCCCAGTTTTCTATCAGACATAAGGTGACTGCTGATATGATGATATTTTATAGTTTTATTCAAATCCATCATCCACTGTCCTACCCCAGGAGGCTCTCCTGGATGACCTGGTGGGGCGTGAGTCACAGAGCCGGCCTGGGGATGACCTTGCTGGTGGACAGCAGCTCAGCTTCACGAGGGTCCAGCCTGGCCTTCCTGATGACCATCCCCATGGACCCTGGGTGAGCCCGGCCTGCCCCCTGATGGCCACCCCACAGCCCACAGCCATGAGGGAGGCTCATCTGCAGGCCACCCGGAGCCCAGGAGAGCAGGCCACACAGTGACAGTGTGAGCAGCACAGGGTCATTTCTTCCTCACTCCCCATGGTCACCAAACACACATACCTCTAGGCTCCTGCTTCACTGGCATTTGCCAATGTGTCCACAGGGGGGACAGCAGGGGAGCCCTGGACAGGGTGTGGGACAACATCCCTCCAGGCCTTTCAGGAGCCTGCAGGTGTCACAGCTGAGCTCCATTTAAATAACCTGAGCACTGAAATCAGGGCACAGATAACACATCCTCTAAGCTCAGGAGCAGAGGCAGCAAAGGGCAAAGCAGGAAAACAACTAGTGGTGGTGAAACAGATGAGAAGGAAAGTGAGCTCAGGTCAGAGCCTAGGTTTATCTGTGCACTGTGGTCAGGAGGGGATCAAACGTGAGCCCGGGAGGGACTGCAGCACCCGACGCTGGCCCAGCCTCTGTGTGGCTCTTGCCACACCCACACCCCCTGTGCTGGTCAGGGGCTCCCCCAGCGGGCTCTGCGCTGACACTGATTGGGAGCCCCCACCAGGGACGCTGAGCTTCCTCGGGACTCTGATCCTGGTGACCAAGAGGGTCATTTCTGCCTCCTTAAGGGACATGATTAATTTGGTGCATGTGAGAACTTGAACCCCAGTCACTAGGGATGCAAACGAAACCTGCCCTGTGTGATGTCAGAAGTGAGCAGAGGGTTATAAATATAGACAAGTTCCCTGGGGGAGCTGCCACGTGGAGAGGGAGCCTGGACCCTGACAGGAAGCCACCCTGAGCCTCCATGTGCACCTGCTCCTGGGGCTGCGTCCCTCCGACGGTGGGTCCTCAGCGCCCCCTGGTGTCCTGACCCCCTGCAGCCCAGCCCCTCCTGTGCCCTCCAGGGAGGTTGGTGTCTGGGCTCTCAAGGACTTTGCCTCACTGTGTCTTTGGCACAGAAATACAGGCCTGAGTCCTCGTCTGTCAGGCGGTCCATTTGCAGATCCACCGTGTTCTTGGCGTTGTCTCTGGAGATGGCGAACCGGCCCTTCACGGAGTCAGTGTAGTATTTGCTGTTTCCATTACCACTAATACCTGTAACCCACTGAAGCCCCTTCCCTGGAGCCTGGCGGACCCAGCTCATGCCATAGTTCCTGAAGGTGAATCCAGAGGCCACACAGGTGAGTCTCAGCGATCCCCCAGGCTGCACCAAGCCTCCACCAGACTCCACCAGCTGCACCTCACACTGCACACCTGCAAACACAGAGACGTCCTGGTCAGGCACCTGTCACACATCCACTGCTTCCCCGACTCACACACAGGAACAAACACAATGTCTCCTGTTCCCCATCCATCACCTCCTAGAAGAGCAGCAAGGAGAACCCAGCTCAGCCCAGACTCCATGGTGAGCCGTGTGTGTTGAGTCCTGATGACCGGCTTGGGACACCTGGGCCTCCCTGGGCTGCGGCTCCTCTCCCAGAGCTGCAGGGTCAGGGCTGGGCTGCTTTTCATCAGCACAGGGAGGGCCCCATTTGCATGAGCTCTGACTCTGTAGCCACCCTGGGGCTGGATATCTGCAGAGTGGGTAGAGCCCCCAAGCAGCGGTGTGTGTTAGGGATGCTTAACACATTAAAATGCTTCCAAAGTATATGAATTTTCATTGTCTGTTAGTGTATTCATAGAAATGAGTGACCCATGTTGTTATTTGTTTTGTACACTTGTCCAAAAACTAGTGTCATAGGAAGCCATGGATATTCATTTATTTACATATAAAAATTGCAAAAAGACTACAAATGGGTCTGGAAGGTTTCCCTGAGACCGTGTCTGGTGGAATGACCCCCCCGGTGTGGGCCTGTGCTCCTCCCTGTGTCCCCGCCTGCTCCCAAGTTCATGTCCAGGGAAGAGCTGCCACATTCCCTATGATTTTCAGGCCCTTCCTGCCTGGGAATGTGGGATTTGCGTCATGGGAATGTGGGATGTGCAGTCCTACCTAGACCACCGAGGAAGCCAGGCTCACACACATGCTCTCAGGACTCTAATGATTTCCAGGTCCATATCTAACCTTCCAGCCCTCCTGCCCCTCTGATACCTGTGGTTCCCCACCTCACCTTGCAGAGGTGCAGCACCCAGGAAATGCCCATCATTACACTTACATCAATGACTGTGACATATGTGTTCCTGTGCACCAGCATCACTACAACCTGTCCTTGTGTCCCTGAGATTCCTCCCCCTGACCCCTTCCCTCCTCCTCACCCAGGTGACCAGGATCCTTATGGGGCTTCACAATTGATCTCATTTTCGAGAATCCACATGAATGGATGACCAGAGGGAGCTTTAATGCTGAGGGGCCAGTGAACCTGGGCCAGGAGCTATCAGGGTACTTTTCACAATTCCTACAGGGGAAAACAAGTCTAGGCCATGAGCTTGAGGAAAGTGAAGTAATAAGGCATTTGGAATGAATGCTTGTAGACCCCAAGGCTGCCTGTGTTTCTCATCAAAGTGATCAGGAAACCCATTTTTTCTGAAATAAACCCATGGACGCTGCGCTGGCCTGAGGCTGCCCTGCACGTGGCTCCTGGTGGGACGCACTGGGCACGCTCCCCACAGCGGTGCCCGGACACCCACCCTCTGCTCCTACTGAAGCCGTCAGTGCTGCCATCTGTCCCTGGGAGTGACTGCAGGATCTGGGAGATGGAGGGGGGTCTCTGAAAGGACACTTTGGCCAAAGACACCCCAGTGGACTTCTGGGACCTTCCCTGGACTGCAGGACAGTGTCAGAAAATCCCCTCCCTCCACAGAAATCCCGTCTTCCCATCCCTCTGGTCATCAGAGTGCTGCCACCTCTCAGCACTGCCCCGCACCCTCCCTTCTTCCTCAATGAAGCTGCTGCCCAAATAAAGAATCCAGGCCAGTTAAATAGAGTCCTTATGACTGCTTTAGGGGACAGCGAATAAAAGGCGAAAAAAAAACCCAGTGTGATTGATAGAGACCTGCTTCTTTGGGCAGGTGTCTTATAAACTGACCACGGCCGTGCTTAGACCTGGGTCACATAGCTGGCTTGTCCCCTCCAGTTCTTGTCTCCAACAGTCACCCACAGTCCCTGTAAGGGGGTCTGCAAGTGTCGTGAATGTCCACCTCCTCAGTGCCCTGAGACTCAGGTTTTGTCCTAGAAAACCTGGGTGTTCCAGGTTCAGTCAAAGCAGAGCTGAGGGACACAATGTGCTCAGGGGACAGAAGCCTCTGCTGCAGCTCAGGAGGGACAGTGCGGCCCTGAGGGGCGGGGGTGCCCAGCCTGCCCCACGTCCCAGCCCTGAGCCCTCAGTCACCACCCTTCCCCACCCTCCAACCCCACAGGGAGGGTGGCCTCTGCAGGACTGCTGAGCCTCACAGGACCCGCACCCACATCCCAGGTACTGACCCAGCCTCCCCCTGGGCCTCTAACCCCCACTGCCTTTCCCCGGGGTCCATGTTTGGAGGTAGAGGCACGTCCCTCCACAAGGGCTCTAAGGGCCAAAAGTTGTGAGGATGTCCCATCAGACTTTTGTGGTGCTGAGGGCTCCCCAGTTTAGGTAACAGCTGAAGCCCATGTAAGGACTGAGCCCCATGTTCACCCCTGAACCCATATCAAGGAGCAGGAGACAGAGATGTGGCCACACAGTTTAGCAAAGAAAGACACTAATTCACAGAAAGTGGGGCAATGTGAGCAGGACTCAGAGAGCCTGACCCAGACACTTTCTGAGGAGGAGGGTCAGATATCAACCCCACCAGGTCCTCAGGCCACAGGCCCCAGTCTGGCTGCCTTGGGTGACACCCCAATCCTCAGACTGCCCTTGGTGGTTTCCTAAGATTCCTGCCCTAAGTCTCACTGAGAAATTCCCTCCCAGGGCCCTTAGCATCCTCGAGCCTCTGCTTTGGGACCCCTGCACCCATTGCTGCCTCCACAGGTGACCCCCTGTATTTGGTGCATGTGATAAAGTGACCACACATCACAACAGTTTCCTGAGCCAGAAACGCCCAGGTCCCGAGGCCTGAGGAGCACAGAGGGTGTCCACGGGAAGCGGTTAGATGCAGGGGAGACCACAGACTCTGGCAGGAAGCAGCCTCCCTGGGCACCTGCTCCTGGGGCTGCTGTCTGTGCTGTGGGTGCTCAGCGCCCCCTGGAGTCCCGATGTCCCCTAGTGCATCCTGCGTGTCCCAGGGTGTCGTGAGCACCTGGTGTATCCTGAGCACCCCTGGGTGTGCTCAGTGCCCCAGAGTCCTGAGATGCCTCCGGTGGTCCTGAGGGACCCTGGGAACCACTGTGGGACCTGGGAATGTGTGCAGAGCTGCTCTAGGATGAGGGGAAGAGGCCCCCACCTCCACTTCCATGTGGGTCTGTGAGTGTCCAGGTGCTCTCTGGGCCTTAAGTGAACAGACATACATGAAGGGCCCATCCTGCCTCCAGGAGGTGGGGGCACCTGGATGGACAGGATTCATGTACTCACAGAGGGGCAGTAGGGTAGGTGTGCATTTGTTCATGGGGGTGCTGGTGGGTTTCAAGTGTAGCTCAGCTGCAGGAAGGGAGAAACAGGTATGTGAGGTTCTGAGGTGCTGTTATCCTTTGTGGACATCATTCATGGTGATTGTGGCTGGACACTAGGTCATGTTACAATACTAGCAAGATGGAAAAAGAAGAAAAATAAAGACAGAGGGGTCTCTAGAAATAAAAAAGACAAAAGGTAAAGCTGGAAAAATGCCATTGAAAGTCACCAGTGATTAACATACTGAGGGGAATCAGCCAGTGACCTGGGGTGACTTAGAGGGGCAGGTGGCCCTCATGCTGGGAAGATGGGACCCTCCCTCTGATGCCTAACGTCCCCTGGAGAGGGCTTAGAGGATGGACTGGGAGAAGAGTCTGGTCTCAGCACAGGGGGGCCTCACGTCTGCAGAGTGGAGTCTGTGGGACTTGGTGAACGACCATGTGACAATGTGCACAGAGAGATGGCACTGCTGCTGTGGTGTGTTTTCTTTAGGTGAGTTTCTGCTGCTGAATCAATGAAATTCCCCTGTCACCAATTTTGTTTGTTCTGATTTTATTATCTACATGTTCTTGGAAGCTCAGTTGCCAACATTGGAAATAAAGAAAAAACTCAAATATGGCAAGAAATTTTTTTCTAAGTGTCCATATACCCTTGTGAGTAAATAAGGTCAGGTTATGGGAATCTGGTTCCTGATAACCTGGAGGCTGATCTCTAATGAGATGGAAACAGGTTAACAGAAACCTTCAGTGATGACAAGAGCCTCAGTTCTCTGAACCACTTATTGGAAAACCACCAGATCAGGCAAATACCCCCATTATAGGATCTGATGGCTCCAGCTGTACATGAACATATGTCTGCCTCATGGGCGCAGCCTCACGTCCCCCCAGGCACCTGTCCCTGTGCACATGTGACAGCTCTGGGTCTGGGGTCACACCCCTGGTACTTCAGAAGCTCACTTTCAGGAGAAACATCCAATAAAAAATCATCCTTGTCTCACACTGAAGGAATTTTTCTCTGGAACATTGACAACAAACATTGCTGCACCACCCCAGAGAGTCAGTGTTTTGGTTCATGGCTCACCAATACCTCCCTCACCTCTGGGTGCTGTAATGAAGGTCCATGGACTGGGTGGCTTCTAAACAACAGGAATTTATTCCTCAAGGTTTTGGGGTTTGGGAATCTGACATCAGGTGCCAGCAGATTGGGTGACAGAAGAGAACCTCCTCCCTGGAGGGCTTTCCCTCCTGTGGCCCCAATGGAGGAAGGGGCAGGGGAGCCTCCTCAGTGCTGCTTCATGAGGGTGCTGACCCCGTCCCTGAGGCTCCACCTCCTGACCTCAGTGCCCCCAGAGGCCCTGCCTCCTACCCCATCACAGTGGGCATGAGGTTTCAACATGTTAAATTCTTGGGGACCCAAACTTTCAGCCCATATCAGTAACTAAAGCATCACGTTAACATTCCAAACGCCTGGACGTGTGCTGCAGCAGAGCCCCTCAGGCTGAGGGATCCGAGGCCTCTGACCTTTGAATGAGCACAGCTGACGTAAGACCTTGAGAACATGCTCATGACTCTGAGTAATGGACGGCCTCCCCCTGAGACTGGGTCACAGCCCTTGCTTATTCCATTATTTACATTATTTTGTTATAATTCCTTAATTACTCATAAACTTTCTTCTACAGTCAATAGACCCAGGTTGTTGCCTACCCATAATGACCTCTTATCTCCCACCCAGTTTTTATACTTTTCAGTTTAATACATACTCAGACTCTGTTTTGATGTCTGGCTGCTGACACCTTAAGGCTCATTCCCCACCCCTCCATCTGCCCACACGTGGAACTATGATAGAAAGCATGGCTCCCCTCCCTGGTTGCTGGTGGGTCACGGAATCCACAGAAGCACTCCCAGGAGCAGGACCCTCACCCTTTCTCCCAGACCCCCAGTTACCCTCTGGGGGAGTCTCCTTTCCTGTCATTCTCTATGTTTCCTGATCAGACTGG